ATGTCTGCTGCCGCCACCAGCAGCAGCATCCGAGGGTGCATCTTCCCTTGTCGTCGGAAGATGGAGATAAATGGCAAGAAGAGGACGATTCAGGGGAAGGAGAAGAAGAAGTAGTGCCTTTGGTGTTGGCAGAGCGAGCACGTGCGGGGATGTAGCAGGGTGGAGGTTGAGCAGAGGTGGGGGTGAAGGGGTAGCGGGAAGCGCCGCATGCAGTTTCAGTGGGAGTGGCCGAGACCGTCGAGACGCGGTCTGTGATAGAGGAAGATGAGGCTGGGGGGAGGCGGGGGAAGGGAGAGCGAAAAGGAAGAGGAGACAGGAAAGGAGCGATAGAAATGAAAGGAAGGCAACAACGCAGCAAGTCAGCACACCCTGCAGCGCTGCGCTCTCCTTTGGTTCTCCGCAGTGCGCCGTATCTCGTCGCTTGTCCTCTCGTCCCCACCCTTGTAGATCCAGGATGTGCTACCTACTAGGCTAGATATCCCCCCGTAGATCCAGCATGTGCTACCTAGATCTGCCCCCTGCGTGCGCGTGCAAAGCGGCGAGGCGCTATCTGCTTCACATGTTCAGGCCCTCGCGAGGACGGCTACAACTATAGCAGTAGCAGCAGCTATGCAGAAAGCCAGAGCAAAAGTGAGGGCAAGGGCGGCGGAGCAGATGGCAATCATTACATAAGTGGCGAAGAGCCTCGACGGGGCAAGTGCGGCAGTCTCCGATTATCCAATAGGCAGAACCTTATGAGGCCAAAAGTGAGGGCGGCGTTAGGCAGGAGCAGTAAGCAGAAGAGCAATACCATTGGAATAAGCAGGACGATGTGGAACAGGTCCGAAAGAGCAAGGGGCAGCAAGGAAGAAGTCAGCAGGTCGTAGATGGACTTGAGACAGTACAGCGAGCACATCCAGATCGTGCGGGAAGTCCATTTTCGATAGGAAAAAGAAAATGCGGTGACCGGAAACAAGTACAGCTTTCAGAGAGCTGGGTGGTTTCTCACACAAATAGGACGAGACCTGATGACTTTCTACCATTAATACCTGTTCCTATATAGCCTACCTATCTCCCTGTGTTACACCCTTACGTCAAAAACTTTCCCATCGGCAAAACCAATGGCCTCCATATCACTCCTTAGCTTTGTATCGTGCTAAGACCAGACCCATAGAGGTTAACCCGACCTTTACATCGAGCATCGCAGACTGCCTTATTTGCTGGAGGTACGCCTTTTTTTTTTCTTTTTCTTTTTTAAAGGCTAATTCTTTTAAGCCCAACCAATTCAATTACCTGTCAAATCTGGACAGCACGGCCTTTCAGGCCTTTTTTATTGTCATTATAGGCCTTTTTTATTGTCATTATAGTATTACGGGGAACCCCGTAGCAGCCACATCCGTGCTCAAACCTCCAACGAGGGAGCATGCGGGAGCTGCACCCTCCAGCAGGTGCGATACCTGCTACAGCAGGTGGGCGATACCGGCCAGGGGTCAGCCGGTAGCATCAGGACCGAGCTTCTTCGATGGGCCAGTCACTGTGCCTCCCCTCTGGTCCCCTCCCCCTATGAACATCAGTAGTCTCTGCTCGATGCCACTGGGGGGACCAACGGCATATCTCTAGGTGGCGGGCGCCAAGCTTGCCCAGGAAGGTACATGAGGCCAATGGGGATTGAACCCCAGACCTCCTGAATGCCACTTGCGTGCCTTACCAACTGAGCTACGCCGTTTCGCTCTGGTGGAGGGCCAACAAGAAAAAGAAAAAAGAAAAGAAAAAAAAAGAAAAAAAAAAAGAAAAAAGAAAAAGAAGAAAAGAGAGAGAAAGAAAAAAAGAAAAACGAAAGAAAGAAAACAGCAGACGTGTATAAATGCACAATCTGCGAATCTCATGCGAGATTCAGTCTGCGAGAGCCAGACAAAAATACGGCAGGGGAGGTCCTTGCCTGCAGTCAGAAAAAGGGAAAAAAAATAAAAATAAAAATAAAAAATCAAACAGAGACAGAGCGGACGGGTTCGCAGGATTAAGTGAGGCGTCGTGCGACGCTTGGCTTATTACTCCACACAGGGCACATGATCCAGTCTTCCCTCGTTCTGCGCAAGAGGGTCACTTGTTTTCCTGTACCTGGTTCCTGTCTGTCTGGTCTTTTGGTTACCAGCGCTGTCCCTCTGCTGATCAAAACCCTGTCTGCACATGTGTGTGTGTGTGTGTGTTTGTGTGTGTGTGTGTGTTTGTGTGTGTGTGTGTGTGTGTGAGAGAGANNNGAGAGAGAAAGAGAGAGAGAGAGAGAGAGAGAGAGAGAGAGAGAGAGAGAGAGAGAGAGAGAGAGAGGGGGAGAGAGAGAGAGAGAGAGAGAGACCATTGAATTGATAGGAAACCAAATTGGTGAAAGGAATGCAAGCTGATATGCGCGATAAATTTGATAATAGACAGTGGATTAGTTGTTGGCAAGTGTGGGAACGTAACGCGTACGCGAAGATGCAAACGTATGGAAGGTGAGGTACTGCGAAGCTGACATGCGTATGCGGATGTGTTCTGTTGTTAGCTTCTTAATAGTTCTTATTCTTTTCTTTTCTTTTCTTTTGCGGGTGAAGCTGCAACAGGTCGTCTAGTTTCATGGTTGAACTCCCCTGCAATTTTGCACAATCTGAGTGTTCGACTGACGGGACCTCTCTCCGCCGCTCTTCTGTGGAACCCTGCCAGAAGGAGCTTCTCCTCGCATAACCAGTCCAGAGCCCTCCCTCTGCTTGCACCACACCTCCCCCCCTCGTTCTGCGGCGCCAACCCTCAGTGCCACCACGGGCGTGGCAGAGCCAGGGATTGTGTTCCACGCCCCAACTGACCACTGTGGCTGCTGCGATGACCTGGGCAGTGTTGAGGCATTGTCATGCATTTAATGGGGAAACTCGCTCAGTCACACACGACACGAGGAACACCTACACGTCTAAATCCGGGGACGCTTGCTTGCCTGCCTGCTGGCCCAGCAATGGGAAACCAGATTACGAGGGTGAAACTGGTCCGTGCAGAGGGAAGTCAGCATGTGTTTGACGTGGTATGGTGCCGGTCGTGGAGTTCCGCGTGCACTGCCAAACCCTTTACAAATCCCAACGGGGCGGCAGTGGATGGTCGTGGCACTATGGGGCTAGCGAGTCCTCCGTGCTAAAGGCAATGTTTGACGCGGGAACTTTGAACGGTCATGATAAAAAGTGGGGCATTTCGTCGGCACGTTGCGTGGTAATGGAATGGGGCATATTGGGACAGGAGCAACGGCATCGGATGTGGGAGTTCTTGTCTTAGTTAGATACATGAGCAACGAGGATGGTGATGGGCTGATGAGCTGACAGGGCCTTAACTCGTATTTGGGGTTTGTATGGTTTGTGTTTCTGCGCTGGGGCTTTAAATTTGGGGCTGGCCGGGACCAGATTTGATTGCAGGGAGGGATGGAGGGGTCCAGGGAGGGTTGGTTTTTGGTTTACGAGGAAAGGTGTGCCCCCGTTCTTGAAGGATTTCTGCGCAATGGTGCGGATGTCTGTAGTGCTCTGCCAGCGAAAATTTCGCCTCGATTCTAGCCAAGGAAGAAGTGGATCAGTGGGGGAGTGTTTAGTGAAATGAGGTGGGAGAAGGTGGGGGACCGGTGAGGGCTGCGTAGCCTGCCCCTCTGCGGTGTCATCGTGTCAGGAGGGGAGAGGACATCGTCGTTACATTAAGCCGAAGATGATGGTGGATGATAGGCAAACTTTTCTTGAGTCGAGTACCTTAGCATCAGAAAGGAGACCTTTGTTGCATGTTATCTACGTACAGAGAGCAGCATCTTGGGCACAAAGACTGGACCCCCCTTTTTTTCCAGTGGGTCGGATGCCGCATTCCACTTTTAGATTTCGCTCTTTGTGTTCCTTTAGAGATCTGAATTCACACAGAGTTTCTGAAGATCCTGATTGATAGATGCAGCCATGAATTGCTGCTGATGCACAGTGGTATAACTGGATGTGGCGCGCGTACTGTATGGAGTTGGGGGCTGGTGGTTGCCAATGGGCATATGGAGAGTCGTACCCCCAAAAATGGGTGGGAGGGAGGTTCTCTTTTTCTTCTGGGTGAGGGGGGGCTTGGG